GTCACTTTTCAGTCTTGATAGAGTTCAAAACTGTTTAAGCAGTCTTGTAAAGATGGCTTGTTTTCCACTCTGCAAACTCTTTCCCACAGATTCACTGTCGTTACTCTATTACTCTTTCCATGCAAAGGGCTTCATTCTTTAGTACTACCAGTTCAGACCTTTACTGCAAGGACACGATACGCTACTTTCACGAAGTCGAATCACACGTGTTTCCCCCGTGTTCCAAATGTACTTAAGAATTTCCACTTCGACAGCTTTTTCTCAAGAACTGCTACTTTGTGAAACAGATTCACTGAACACTTTAATCAAATCCATGATGCAATTGTTATTTATCCTCGTTATCTTCATAAACTCCATTTCTTATCACCTTTTCCTTTCTTATCATACACGCTACACATCATTACTATTTTAACTGTAACCTTCTACTTTGAGCGACTCCCGAGCCCTGTATTAGATGATATTTAGTAAAAAATAAATATGATATGATATAAATTAAATACTACATCACGACTAACGCGCATAAAAATTCAGCTTCATTTTAAAATAGAAGCGTTTGTAGCTATCGAATCCTCCATTATAAACAGATTATATTTCTTTACTTAAAAATTAAACTTACCCTGAAGAAACTTCAGAAGATTCAAGCGCTTTTAAACATTAGCAATTATCGATGTTATCGACATGGAAAATAAATTCGAAGTGCCGAGTTCACTTCCCGCTTGATTCTGTTTTGTTCACTTCGTTCTAATACCCTTCATCCAGGACAGGCTTTCATGCATCCGGTTCAGAAGGAAATCTGAATTAAAAACCAAATTGAGGAGGGATAGGCTCCTTCAGGTTATCCTTCTTAATTCGTAACCACTGCTGCTATGACTGCTTACGACCCTTGGTGACGTGACGTGACGTGACAAGACAAAAGTCACATAAACTCAACATTATAAAAATGATACTTTCTTCAAGGGAGACAATTGTTTAGTCATCGGTGCATATAACAATGTAAATTCATACGCTGTTGCAATAATTATAGTAAGGACTGCATTATAATGCTTATTGAATGTGAATAAATGTTTCCAGTGAAAATAAAAACAGACATTATGCACTTTTATGATAACTATTATTTCTCTGTGTTGTTATTACAGATTCATGAGGCCCATTGATAAAGTGTATGAAAAATAATCCTAATGAGAAATTTCTTGTTCCAGATCAATATTCCCAACACTCCGTTTACAATTCACTTCACCGCTGAAAGATGTCATCTGCTGGGAATTGGAAAACGCCTTTTATGTACGTACGAGTTTATGTGTATCAGCAAAAAAAAAAAAAAAAAAAAAAATGACAGTAGCATTTAAGTCATTTTACAATTGCATTAATTATACATTCTTCATGAATAGGCACATATTTTTATCAGTACAATTAACTCTATTGTCTCATGCTTGAAAGACTAGTGTTTTTTTCATCATTAAAAGCCAAAATATCCAATGTAAGATAACACGATTTGTACCGTCAAAAAATGATTGTCTCCTTTAAGTAATTTTGAAATTGGATTGATTTTATTTTCGGCCTGGATAATGCAAGAGTTTTATTTCAACAATTAACACTATTGTTGAATTTAAGAAAGAATGGTGATTTTCCGTCATTAAAAATAAAAAATAAAAATTCAATGAAAACTAACACGATTCGTACCGTAAAAAAATTATGAAAGTCATATTTACGTAATTTTGTAATTACGTTGTTAATATTTTTTGCACGAGGAACTTAGAATTATTTAACTCTATTGTCGCATTTTAAAATAAATTATACTTTTTAAATATCTTGATATCGCTAATACGAAACAGAAGGTATAAGTGATATATTAGCAACTTAACACCCATTACCTATCAATGAGATATTCCATTTTTATTCTAAAACAGTATGTTGAGTTATTTCTCCTGTTAACACAGAATACTTCATTATTAAAAAGGGGGATATCAGGCTGTGCAACCGATAAATATATAAGATCATATTGTATTTTATTCTACTTTCCTATCGCTATTTGCGTCTCTGATTTTAGGAATATTTAATTTCTTTGTCTAAAATCAGTTTTATGTCTCTTGACTGAGAGAAAATTGAAAGAAAAAGGTAACTTCCTATTCTACTGACTTGCGTTTTATTACTATATTAGTCTAAAAAGTAATGAATTTTTAATTGAGAAGTAAATTATTAGAATAAGAATTATCTGATAAGACACTAAATCTTCATTTTTTTATCATAATAAATAAATAATTATATATACAAATATATACAGGGTGCGATGGGTAAATAGTGGCCATTTTATATTTTTAATTTCACTCATGCGCGCTGTTTGTTTTTTTTATTTTTATTTTGCCGACTACACAGTATAGTACGGTCAGTTGGGCACCGTCTGAGAGAAAAAGAGCACCATGACGCAATTCACTCCGTCAGAAATTTGGAAACGACATTCTGTACTGCTTGGCATTCGCACCGGAAGCTCCAATACGAATATTTCAGAATTTTTGGGTGTCAGAGTGTTTTTGAGGACAGTGCAGGGAATACGGAAAGAGTTGGGCGATATATCCAGTCAACATCATGGTGTTTGGAGTGATCATTAGTGATGGCGACGTTATGCCTTCATTCATCTTCTCATGGCGCCTCAGACTCAATGCGGAGGCTTACATCAAGTGTTTTAAGAAGGTAGTGCGGTTCTAGGTCAAAAGGGTGATTGCTGGAAACCCTATGTCGGGCAACAGGAATCTGCACCATAACACACAAGCAGGAGAACGCAGTGATTGCTGTCAGACAATTTCCGCGACCACATCACCCCTTACATCTGACCACCTAACTCCCCAGACTCCAACCCCCTTGATTATTATGTGTGGTGCGGAGTTGAGCGAGAGACCAACAAAAATTCCTTGGAACACCAAAGATAAACTGAAGGCAAGGACGATGGCAGCATTCGTCAAATTAAACAAGAAGACAATCCAGAAGAGTTGGAGGAGATTCCGAAGTCCTCTGGATGCCGTGGTTGATATTCTTTAGTATTTCAAGATATTTTTGTGTAATTTTGGTAAATGTATTTGTTAAAATAAGATGTCAATATTATTTTCAGGTTTGCGTAATTTATACGATAATTTATCCATAGCACCCTGTATATCTGTGTGTGTATGTGCGTGCATGTCTGCGTATACATACGCAAACGCAGACACGCATATATATATATATATATATATATATATATATATATATATATATATATATATATATATATATATTTATACAAATGTAAAAGAACGGAAAGAATATACATTCAAACATTTATAATATTAATTTAAGAAAGGGCTCAATACAAGTGTGGACCAATAAATATTTATTATAAACTGTTACATTAGAACATGCAAGTTACCGCGACAAAAATGCATATTTGTTTCGACGTCCAAAGACGTTTCGTCAGGCGGCTAACAATCGTGGTAATAAACGATTTTATTTTAAAAATACAATTTATGAATCATTACTTCTTTCTACATTTTTAAAAATTTTACATAAAAGGCAAAGAAACAAATACATGTGAAAATACCTTTAAAACACGTTTGTATAATCATCTTTCATACTTTACTAATGCTGACAAACGAAATATGACTTCACTCTAAACATTTTTGGACAAAACACTTAAAATTAAATGGAAAATTTTTAAACAAGCTAGAATCTGTAGATCCGTGACTGAGCCATGTTTTCTTCGTCTACAGCAGAAAACTGAGATAATTAAACTCTTGAATAACGATCAATCATTAAATCAAAGATATGAAACTACGGTGACTTGTAGACATATTAAGGAATTAACCTTACAATCTTGCTAAACTTTATAAATTAATCACTCATCTTATGTGATATTACCTTTATATAAACATTTCAATGTTATCCTTAGTGGTTTATTCTTGATTAAGATATTAAATAGGTTAGTATTCGTAAATTACTGGTAGTAAGTTTAGCCGTGAATTGGCTTATAATTATTTTACTTGATAATAGTTTTAATTTAATATAAATATTTAAAAGTCAGATAAATGTTTAAAATTTATTAGATAAAAGTCATATAAATGTTTAAAATTTATTTTAGTTTTAATTTTTAAAAAATATATAAAACTCAAAAAATGTTTAAAATTTATTTTAGTTTTAATTTTAAAATATATATAAAACTCAAATAAATGTTTAAAATTTCATTTGTATTCTAATTTATAATGTAAGGTTGGTATAGTTAAGTAGTTGCTTTGTTTGTATATGGTTTTTCTTTTAAAGTGTCTTTTATTTACTTACTATGTTTAATTTATTTTAATATGTGATTTTATACAAAATGTCATAGTTTGAATTGCTACATTGTATCTGTAATATGTTTCCTATCTTGTGGCTAAATCTGGTATCAACAATTTCTCATATCTTGTTTTCTTCTCTTTCCTTTTCATTTGTATCTGTAAAATTTGAATATGATTTTCTCCTTTTTTTTTTTCTTTTCTCCCCCTTCTCTTTGTAGTAGGGTTGATTTCTTATGCTTGCTTATGCCTTTCTCTTTTTTTCCTCTTTCGTTTTCTTCTTATTTTTATTTTCTTTCCTTTTTTTACTTTAATTTGCTTTTTTCACACTTTCATTTTTATGGAATGAATAAATTTTTTTATATATTTGATTCTTTGCCTTCTATGTAAAATTTTAAAAAAATGTAAAAAGAAGTGATGATTCATAAATTGTATTTTTAAATAACATCGTTTATTACCACGATTGTTAGCCGGCTGACGAGACGTCTTTGGACGTCGAAACAAATATGCATTTTTGTCGCGGTACCTTGAATGTTCCAATGTAAGGGTTTAATATATATATATATATATATAGAGAGAGAGAGAGAGAGAGAGAGAGAGAGAGAGAGAGAGAGAGAGAGAGAGAGAGATGGGCATAGTTATTGAAAACATTTTAAACAATCAATTGATATATATGGTGGAGGTAGAGAAATTTCGTATGAAACTATGAAATTGGCTTCGCCTGACCGCCAGTTCTTTCGTGCCCAAACGGTAAGGCTAAACGAAGGGCGCACATCTTTCTTTAATAAGATTTCTCGAATACTAAGATCAGTGGGTTAAAATAAATAAATAGACCGTTTAATAAATAAACGGAACGCCAACTTAAATACGAGTATCCACTAAAAATTCTGTTTGAAGTGAAACAAATCTATCACATTAATAAAAATCCATTACACACATATATATATATATATATATATATATATATATATATATATATATATAAGTGTATTTGGACAGCAATCCCTTTTCATACAAGTTCCATTAAAAACGATGGATAAGGTAATACCCATACTTTCCTTGTTGGCTGCCGGGTCTCGTAATTGCGTATTTGGGCAGCAATTACTCATTTATACAAGTTTATTAAAAACGATTGACAAGGAAAGTAACCGTATATATATATATATATATATATATATACGCTTGTACATATATATATATTTGTGTGTGTTTGTACATATAAATTTCTAAAGAATTAATGTCTTTTTTATTACTTTAAACGTTATCACAGTGAACAGATTTATTTGAAATAGGTGCTCCATTTTTAATTATTTATTAAACATTGTATCATAGGTCCCTCGGTCGGAACCTTCAAGAAATACGACACGTTTTCTTTACTTAGACTGCTCGAAAGCGAAAGTAGCAACGACCAAAAATGATATTAATCACAATAGCAAAAAGTATATTCTCAATGTTAAAACACTGACAAGTGGCAGGCAACGTTCAATTTTAATTAACAAACACAACATAGCAGACATTGTATTATTGGCTTAATTCTGATATTGTCAAACATAATTTCCTGTTATTATTTATTTGCATATTTCACTCATTGCATTAATTATTTATCATCTGGTGTTTTGTTTTACGATGAAGTGCCGGTGATTTTTTTAAAATCAAATTCTCTTAAAAAACGATGTTCATTCAATGCTGCGCCCTTTATTGTATAATCGTTTCACTTTCTTGAAAGTGTGCGTGTGTAGGAGAAAAAAATCGGTAGAGTTTCCACTTCAAAAATCTTCCCTGATTAACTTGAAATTCTAGAAGACGTGACTATTTGTCGAAATTACTCTTCAGAATTTATCGGAGTACAAATCAGTTATCGGCCATTGACTGTATTCAAAATATTTTTCAGTATAGTCTTTAATGAGTATTGATTAGATTTATTTTTCTAGTTCCCATTTAAAAGGAAATAGGAAAAAAACATACATTAATACCATTGAACTGAAGTGGAAACAGACAAAAAAGGTATTAATTGCAAATAAATAAATAAATAGCTAATTTTTATATAATGGAAATAGGCCAAAAACCTACTAAAGAATTTCTCCCACATAACAGACACTGAACGAATTGTGTTAGTTCTGTAGATAATGAGAAAGCTTCGTTTTATTCTTGACTACATTTTTTACATTTCATTAGTGTTTGATTTTCGGAAGACTAAATGTTCAAATATTTTTAATGTCTGATTTTTTAAATTTAAATAAATATATATAAATAAATAGAAATACATATGCATCTTTTACAATGTTATTTGCAAATTAATTTGCCCAAATGGAAATTGTATCTTTGAAATCTTTATATGGGATATACAACCACAACTCTTTCTCGTAGAAATATCTGTCATAATTCTAACCAAAGTCCTATATGTCAACACATGGTACAGAAAAAAAATGGAATAAATAAGAAACCTATATGTGAATGGTGAAATAAAAACTGAGAAAAATCCCACCTTTCGAATGCGGAGAGGTGGTAAAAGATAGAAATGCTTACTTGTTTTAGTTCACATCTTACATTTGTTTGGCGGAGAAATGTTACTGTCAAAGGCAAGGAGATACAATCTCTGAAAATAAGGCACTAATTTTGTAGGAGTTGCGAGCGTTAATTCTATCATGTGAACTTGGATTACAAATGAAAAAAGTCATTAGGATTACAGAATCTAATTCAAGTACGATTCGAAAAGGAGGAAGATATGTGAATAACACAATAGTAACCAGTAAAACAAACCGTAAACAAATATTTTAGAAGCTATTTATATTAAGTTAAAAAAACAGTAATTAGCAAAATCCCCTATGATACTAGAATAGAAATTCTAAAGTGAATCCTCAGAATCTACATTACGTCATTTTCAAGCATCACTGCAAATTTTCCTTCAATGGATAACACAAATATTTATAATTTTAAATTAAAATCTCGGAATATCAACAAAAACTAATAGGCATTGTGGACTGTTCCCACATAACATTAATATCAAGAAACGCTAATTAGACATAACCTCTCTCTTATTTTTAACAAAATTGGTTTCGATCACACACATACACGCATATATATATATATATATGTATGTATAAAGATAAAAGACAATATGAAAACTGTATTATTAGCCGACACATTTCGTCCAATATAGATTTTTTAAGACAGAAACGAAATGAATTTATTGAAAGCAAAGTAACTATTAACAAGAAAAATGTCCTTAACAAACAGAAAAATTTAGAAAATTCTATCGTGTTCATATTGTCAAAGTAACTAATAAAAACAAAAACAGAATGTATCTAGCAACTGGAAGTTTTATTAGTTACTTTGTTCAATTAATTTCCTTTTCGTATTTTGCTTTGATAAAGTCCACATTGGACGAAACGCGTCAGCAATTACCAGTTCTCCTATTGTCATTTTTATTCATAAATATTGTCTTCTCTACTGGTTAAATTATCAATTATATATATATATATATATATATATATATATATATATATATATATATATGTGTGTGTGTGTGTGTGTGTGTGTAATGACAAAAGTAAGCATGTGTAAGCTTTAAGAAAGCTTTATTCAACTGAGAATACAAAGTTTGCGTATAGTGTCCTTTTATAGTCCCAGTAAGCAGAAATAGATCTCTCAAAAGAGGAGAGCAACAAAACAAGGAAGACCACTCTTGATTATCCATAACAATATGTATGTATGTATATATATATATATATATATATATATATATATATATATATATATATATATGATAAAAAATATAGCTTTGAGGTATGCTATATTTATGGCTTAAAATGCTCAATATCGTCGATAGAGCGTATGTAAATATAAAAGTATCCATTGTCAATGACGTTTCATCTGAGCATAACTTTTCGAAGCCCAGTCATTTTCTTGGTACGACTTCTGTTCTTCCACCTTCGATATGCTAGACACTACATTTATATATTTGTACCTACTTGCCTTTGGATCTGTGGAAATGTCTTGAAGTCGTCCTTGCTATTTTCAAACCAAGTCTGGGATAATGGAAGTTTAAATTGTTTACACTTGCATAAAGCTCAAACGAACAATCAAAAATCTGTAAAGTATGGGTGTGCGCGTAGTGTTGTGTTTATCTGTGCTGAAATTAGAATTGGCGTGCCGAGTTCAAATTCCATTCGAAGCCTTTACGTTCTTTTTCGCACAAATACCATTGGAAAGATATGGATCCATCTCATCTTCCCCTCCTCAGGTTTGGATTAATAGCACAACAGACTAAAATCTTTAGTAAGGGTGGCAATCAGTCTAGGTGGAGGAAAACATTGAATCCAAAACTTCCCTGAAGAGAGATGGACTCCGTCAGGCCATCTTGCCCCAGACACACCATTGCAGCTACAACTGCAGTATATTTGTGATAACTCTACGAGCTTACTGGATTACAAAACACATAATGTGACAAAGCTTGCGTGGAAGAAGTAACAATTACGAAAACCTGTATTTTAAAAACATATTTGTTTCTTTATTCATTTGCCTAAATTTTATTTTCTTTCCTTCAGTGGTTGACTTCCAAAGATGCAAAGCTGAAGCCTCGGAAAGCACGATTGGATTGACTGCCTCTTGCGAAAAACGTTCACAGAAAGAAGCCATTGAATGTGCAACTGAACAGGTTCTCAACTTGTTGAAGGCTGTCTCCGCGGCAGTTCAGAGGGCAGGCTCCAATAATTCTTGATAATATCCGAATAGACGGCGTTTGAATCCTGAATTGGTCTGCCATGTTAGATTACATGAATGGGCAAGCCATTATATATCACGTGAATGATGAAGTATCATTTAAAATAAAACTGATTAAAATGACTTCGTCATTAGCATAATAGTTTTTTTCTTTTTTTCGGGAATATTCTTATTTTTTAATATACATTTATAATAACCTTTTTGCAAGATGCTGCTCGACACTATAATTTCCGTTGAAAACATTACAATTTTTTGAAAAATGTAAGCACATAAACAATATAACAAATATATGCCATATACTTTTTTTTTTACTCCAAATACAAGTGCCGTTTGGAATAATAATGCTGGTGGGAATTTTAAAATTTAATAAAATAAGAATGCCGGTTTAAATAAGCATTCCGCCGGATATTTTTGCATAAGTTAAATAAACGTAGAGTCACATTATCGTGTTGTGAAGAGAAGTATTTGAAAAATAATAAGCGCGTCATACCAAATAAGAAACGTGAAGTAAGAGGTGAGGGAAACCAAAGGATAATCATTTAACCGCGCCGGCATTTCTATTTGGTACACAAGAGTACCTTATCCACTGCATATATAGTTTTCACTTGATTTACTTAATCTCTACTTTAATTAACTATTCTCTCATTCTTTTTTTTTTTTTAATTAGCCATTTCTGGCTCATAAAATAATGAGATTAATTCCTGTAAAATTTTAAATGATCTACAGCACAACATTAGACCAAGCCTAGGGCAATGACACCCGGGATAAAGAGAGATAACAGAGAGATAACAGAGAGTGGTCCTAACCAGACATCGTATAGGTTCATGCAATCCAACAGCTGCTCAAAAACGAAGAACCACCGTTGTGCATACAAAATCAGGCACCACACACAATTAAGAATGTATTCATAATTTGTAGCGAATTCCAACAAATACGAATCAAGTACTACAGAACAGATACACAACTTAAAGAAATTGTTCGAAAGTTTCAAACCAAGTGAGATTTCGCAGTTCGAATCAGATTGGTCT